AGAACAAAATGCACGACGGCGAGCCCGCCCGCGGCGCCCCAGAAGGTGAGCTGTGATGGGCCCCTGTCGGTCCCTCCCTCCCTCCTCACGCATCTTCTTGTGTCAGTAGTCAGTCTCTCTGTCTCGGTTAGATGCTCATATACCCATCCCGGTTGGGGAGGGGACGGGGGGAGGGAGAGGGGGTGGGGCTGCAGACCCTGGAGTCTGGGCGGCGGGCGGGATGTGGCCTCCCCACCCCCGAACTGGGGAAGGAGGGACTGCATCGCCCCTGCTGGAGCCCATAGAGATGCACGGGCCCCATCCCGTGCACCCCTTCCCCAAAGGAAATGTTTTTGGGCGCCAAGTATGTGTCAAGCCTGGGGACCAGTATTGGGCATGCGTTGTCTTTGTGCAGCGTGGATGATCAGAGGGGATAGTCCCCATTTTACAGAGGAAGAAACTGAGGCTCGGAGAGGGCAAACGACTCACCCAAGGTCACACAGCCGGGATCCAGACATGCCCCGCTCTGGGGCCCGGCTGCCAGGGCTCCATCTTCCCTAAGTCCGGGTGTGCTTGGAGATCTCCGGAGGGGCCGGACCAGGGGGAGGGAATCTTAGGGTCCCCCGGCGGGAAGCTCACAGACCCCGAGGACCCCACGGTGATCTTGACCCTCCTGTGGCACTTCCCCTCCTTTCCTACCTGGTCCCAACCCTGGTTAACCCAAGAGGAGGCAGGTGGAGGGGGCCGTGGGGGTCTGACTTCTGGGCTCTGGGCGCTTTAATGGGGGGAGACGAAGCAGAAGTCTGCAGAATGACTCTCTTGTCATTCTCCACTCTCCCTCTCGTCATCTCTTGATTCTCGCACCGCTTCCTGGGCTCCTCGCACTCTCCCTCCTCATCTCTGCAACCGGCTGTGTGCTTCTGTCCCCCTGCTCTTCCCTTCTGCACCTCTCTTCCTGCCCTAGGTGCCCGTCCCTATCTCTCTCTCTTCCCCAACCCCCCAGCCCGCCAGGCCCCAGCCCCCAGCCCCCCCGTGCC